CCCCCCCCCCCAGCAGCTCCTGGCATGGAGTAGGGGATCCCCTGTGTGGGCCCTGGGCCAGCCCACGACTCATGAAAGGTGTCTTAATCAGGCCACTAGAGGAAAGTTGAGTTTTATTCTTGGTTCTGAACAATGACCGCTAGGGACAGACAGACCAACAGGTGCACCCACACATGGCTTTGGAAGAGCTGTGCACCGGAGGGCCAGGCAGGAGGGGAGGCGGTATGTGTATTATTTGGGGCTGATGTCCTCACAGCTGCCAGACCTTGGGTGTCACGCAGGGCTCCAACTCACATCTCCTGGGCTGACCCAGCCCGGAGGAAAGCTGCAGGCTCCAAGCTGCCTGCTCTACCTGAGGCCCAAAGTGCTGATGGGAAGGGCTCCTCAAGTGCTGGCTGCTTCTCCAGCCACCTCCTGAGACCTGAGTTCTGGCCTCAGTTCTACAGGGAACTACCTTTGGGAGCTGGGCCAACTGAATCTACCTCTCTGGGTCTCGGGATCACCCTACCTCCTACAGTGGAAGTAGCCAACAAGGTCAGCTCACAGGGTAGGCACTGTGACCCCCTGCACTTGACTCTTGTGCCAAAGTCCCCTGTCTTCTCCACTGTGGTGTGCCTGGGCCTCAATTTACCTCTCCATTCTTTTGTTCTGCCTGAAGAAGTGGCCTCATGACTAAGAGAGATAATGCACGAAGCTTGGCACATGAGGCCAGTGAGTGTAAGCTATTATAATCTGAATGCTTTATATAATCATAATTTGAATGGTCATATGACCATTCTAACCTCTCAGTCTCTCTTTCCTTCTCCCCTGATTTACTAAAAATCTCTCCATTAGCACTTTCCACTCTTAAAGTCCCTGCAGTAGGGATACAAATTTAAAGTCCTGGGGCAGGGATACAAATTCCTTCTGGATATCAGACGCCTTTTCCCTTCATTCTCTTGTGCAGCCTCCTCATGGAGGCTGCCTTCCTAATGCAGTTCTGAGCTCCCTGGCCACCTATTTCCACTTGGTTTGCCACTAGGGGGCCAGCACAAGAGATTTATGGCCTTGTCTCCCCGCCCAAAAAGCAGGAATTCTACCACAAGAGCAGAGACTTAGAGCCTCGGGGGGAAGAGTAGCTTTCTCATGCTTACAACTGAGCACAAAGATACAGGCTAGCCTCAAAAAGTAGTGAGCTCTCCGCCATGGCCAGTGCGGCTCAGTGGGTTGGGTGCTGTCCCATGCACTGAAAGATTGCTGGTTTGCTTCTCCGTCAGGGCACAAGCCCAGGTTTCGGGCTCAATCCCCGGTGTGGGGGGTATGCAGGGGGCAGCCAATCGATGTTTCTCTCTCACATCAATGTTTCTCTTTCTCCCTCTCCCTCTTTTCTAAAAATCAGTTAAAAAAATCTTTTTTAAAAAAGTAGTGAGCTCCTCGACACCAGAGACATTCAAGTGAAGTTGGGTATCTCCCTAGAAGGGAGCTGTGAAGGGACTGTGTGGACCAGGACTCCACCTGCCCTGTAGATCTGTATTCACGATGCCTAGCACACAGCAGGCACGCAAACTACCTGCTGAAAAAACCACTGCTTGGGTGGGAAGCTGGTTTGGAGGCCACAGGTTATCTTTCCAAGACAATTCTACTTGCTTTTGAAGAGAGTTAAGCTTAAGCAACGTGGGCACTGGGAAGTATTCATTCCATCACAAAGGTTACAAGGAAATCCTGCCACTCCCACATATCTAGGGCTCTCCTAGGCATGGCCGGCAGCTGGGGGCGCCCAAAGGCCAGCCCTCAGGGGTCTGGGCTCAGGATGTCATGTGCTCAGCCCATGGAGGAACAGAGTGTGGTATGAAGGGAACATCTGTGAGCAGAGGAAAGGCTGGGGTGGGGAAGGGGTGAGGAAAACTGAGTGTGGCCTTACCGGTCTGCAACTTTCCACACGGTGGGAGCTACCGTATTAGCAACGGTTGGTGCAACCGTGGTCTGGGCAGCCTCCCGGGTGGCCCCAGCAAACCTCTGCAGGTAAGTGGTGTAGAAGGACCTGGATTCCATAAGCCTGTAAGGGCAGAGAGAGACAGAGGAGAGGCAGTGAGGACAGAGAAACAGAATCCTAGAGCTAACTCATGTTGGGAGACGAGGCAGGGGGCTCATTTGACAGAATGTTTATTAAGAAATATTTGAACTTGGTTCAGTCTCATCCGCTGTGAGGTCAAAACCAGGGCACCCATGATTCACTTTAACCTTTCCATTCACTGTTCATACTGATGCCAAATCCTATCTGGAAAAGCAGCTAACCTGCCTGGAGAGGCTGTGGTGCAGAGAGCCTCTGGGGACAGCTAGTCCTGCCCAGGGACAGGATGACTACCTTCCCCAGAGACCAAAGGTGCAAAATGATGGCTGACCTCAAGAAAACTGACGCGCACAAGCCTGCTCTGAGGTACTGGGGGGGACATTACTCCCCAAGGAAGTCAAGGGAGTTTAATATGTGAATTTTTTAAAAATAGCAAAAATAAAAAAATCACTTAAAATTCTCAAATCCTTTTACAATCCTTTTGATTTCTTTCTCTTTCCTGACAGTGAGGAGTTCTCAAGGGCAGGGGGCGTCCCCTGGTCCGGGTCCAGGGAGGGAGATCTGTGAGGACCAGTGGCACTGTGATGGGACCCCCAGGGGAGCTGGCATCGGGAAGCATCGAGTTCCACTCCGCTGTCCTGGCCCGATGTTTATCGATGAACAGATGGCTTGGAAGCAGCATCGTCACAAACAATTTTCCCCTCCACCAACTCCCAGTGAGGAAACAATGCCATCTCTCCCCCGCCAGGACTGGAGTTTTCTGGGCCTATGCAGAAAGTGAGTCCCTACTGTCCTCCTGTGGCCATCACACTTCCTTGCCCCAGCAGGACACTCTGACAAGGCCTGGCCCAGGCGGCCTAGTGGTTGGGTCAGCCGGGGCAAGTGGTCGCCCTGACCAGCCTCAGTGCAGAGTGGTGCTAATGGCCCAGAGGACAGCTCACTGGGCACCTCCAGCAAGCCTTGATCTCCCAGCCCTTGAGCTCCTGACGGCAGGGCCAGCTGACATCAATCATCTGCCCAGGGAGGGCACCGAGGCACCATCTGGCACCATTTAGCGGGCCATTCGGCAGCACGAGCCTGACAGGGGCTGCGGCTGGCCTCATTGTTTTCTCTTGGCATTTTGGAACTGGCTATTGTCTGACTCCTAATGAACTTTTCTGCAATTAGAAAACCAAAGGGAGGGAGGGTCAGGCATACTTGAGTGCCTGCCAGGCCTGCAGCCTGCCAACGAGTCTGCCTGAACAGAGGTGGACAGGGGATGGTGCTAAAGTGCCAATCTGGGTGTGCCAGGGGCTGGAGGCAGGACGCCTGGGCTGGTCTCCTGACTATAGAGACATTGCCCCACATCCCAGAGGCAGACATCTGTTTCTCCTGCAGAAGGTGCTCCAAGCCCGCCCATGGGCTCTCAGAACATTCACAGAACTTGTCAGTCCCTGTGAAAGGCTGGCAGGCTCTCTAGGCAGGAAGAACGGATGGGCACAGGGAGGGAGGAGACTGGGACAGAGAGACACTGCACTCACACAGGAACTCGGGAGACAGAGCCATTCCGAAACAGCAGGTAGCAAGATGGGAAGTCGGTGACGCCAAACTTGCTCACCACATCACCTTCCGTGTTCAGGACCCTGCGCACCGCAATGCCTTCACGCTGGGACAGGTCCAGAATCACCTGGAGAGACAGTCAGACATCTGGGGGCCAAGCCATTGGGTAGAGGGAGCCCCAGCAGGCACCTGGATGGCAGGATTCCACCCACTCTAAACCTTTCAAAGAACAGACTATTGTGATAAGTGAGAGTCTCCGATCACCAGCCCCATCTACCCTACAGGTAACGAGAGCCAAACACTGCCCAAGGGAGGGGCCTTGGAACTGTGCAAGCCACACATCCTGCATCTTCCAGGACAGCCCCAATTTAATATCATTTTCTTCCCAAAGAAAGCAATTGGTAAAAGGCATAATAGAATGAGGGTTCATTTTACTCATATTTATAAAGTTTTCTATGTTCCAAATCAGAAAAACATACTGAGTCAGTCATGATTTTATTTTTAAAAAGAAATAGGAAGGGAAAAAAGAATATTAGCTCACATTTACTGAGTATGTATTATGTGCCGTATATAGATTGCTTCATTTAATCTTCAAAATAACACTATGAAACAGGAACTATCATTAGGAGACCAAGCCGCCTGGGTTTGAATCCTGGCCCCACTGGCTCAAACCTCTCCCTGACTCAATTTCCTTACTTGTAGAATTATAATAACAACAATACCAACCTCAGAGGATTGAGTGGGTTAATTTTACAAAAGTTCTCACAACAATTACTAGCAAATAGTAGGTACAGAAGTATTCATTTAAAAAATAAAACTATTGTAGATGAAGAAACGGGAGCTTAGAAGTGAAACCGTGTTTCCAGGTCACACAGCCAGCAAGAGCCTGAGCTAGGCTACATAAATCCCAGTTCAATCTGGCTGCAGAGCCTGGGCCCCTGGCCACTGTACCCTCCTGCCTCTCAAACTAATAATCATCCCTGAGAACCTCTGCATGAACACAGTCCACAGAGGCCCCTGTCCCTGGTTACTCAGGGGACTTAGGTGAGAGAGGGAAAAGAGCTGATTCCAAGGAACACTTATCCATCACTTCTAAGAGACAGGCATGACCCCAGGCCTGGACTGGGACCTCAGGACGGTCAGACATGTCTCAGCAAAGCTCCAGGCCCCCTCCCCACCTCCCTGTGCTTCCCCTCTCAGGGCCAAGGGCCTGGAGACAGCGCAGAGCTCTCAACAGTGCTTGATGAGTTTCAGGAGGAAAACCACTCAGAAGCAACAGTGGTGATGACCTTCACCCCCACTCTCACATCTCTCCTGTCCCCTTGCATTGCCTTGGCACTTCTCCCATGCACTGGCCCATCCCACCTTTGCATCTGGGAGAACCCACACGTGGCCTAGAGAAGTCCATGAGCCAGCGGATGGAAAGGACAGCTCACTGCATTAGGCCAGGGGACTGGATCTTTATACAGCAACCACTCTGTGTCAGCCACTCATCCGGGCCCTTTACCTAAACTGCCTCATTTGACTTTCCCAATAATTCTCTGAAGAAAATTATCACTGCTTCACAGACAGGGAAATGAGACTCAGAAAAGTTGAGCAACTTGATCACAACATATCATGTAAGTGATGGAGTGGAACTGCAAACCTGCCAGGTTCTGTTACCTGCCTCACCTGGTAAGGGACCCCACTTCCTCATGAGGAACTGGATGATCTCTGATGTCATCTCTCTCCTAATTTTTTTTACTCCAATTCTATGGGGATGAGAGGAGGGCCAGTGTGGAAATGACACGGGCTCTGGAGGCAGAAACAGCTCGTTCAAAGCCCTGTTCTGGGAAGTCACTGGCTGTGTGAGCTTCAACATGTTATATAACCATCTTTGTTAACCGTGAAGATTAGCAACTATGTGTGCCAGCAATATAATCCAACCCTCAATAAACAGCAGGTCTTATCAAATTTGGTTTCGATGAAGGAGATAAAAACAGACACAGGACATGTAACATACAGCATAGTCAGTAACAGTATATTAACTTTGTATGGTTACAGATGGTCACTAGACTTATTGTGGTGATTATTTTGAAATGTATACAAATGTCAAATCACTATGTTGTATAACTGAAACTAATAATAATATTGCATGTCAATTACACTTCAATTAAAAAAAAAATACAAAGGTTTTAAAACAGGAAAATCCAGCCCCTGCACTTCCCATTTCTCCCAGCAGGGGTCAGGCCAGTGCTGGGCTCAGAAGTGCACAGGACTGAGACCCTAGAATTTGACTGAGACCCTAGAATTTGCCGGAACAGCCCTGATCCTGAGCTCACTGGGCTCTCTCCCAAGGGCCATCCAGGAGTTACAAGAACCCTGAGGGCAGCTCACCTCTCTACCCAGGTAGGAGCCTTCCTTTTCAAAGATCAGGGCCAGGTATTCTTCGTTGTTTCTTGCAAAGAACCCATTAATCTCCTCCAGCCTGCAAGAGACAAGGCTGGCAGTCACTCCACAGCCAGTGGGAATGAAGCAAAAGTGCTGGTGACACCAGCTGACACTGTACAGCAAGTACAGCCACACAAACCTCCTCTACTCAAGGCTTCATGGAAGCCACCCCATGCCTGCCCTCTAGCGGGAGTAAACCAAACCCTTAGTCTCAAAGGATGGTGCCCCTTGCCTAACCCTGGTTCTTCATCTCACCCACCTGGCTGACTTGCTTTGCCATCCTGTCTCTTTACAAGTCAGGAGTGAGTAGGAAGTGGTCTGGGGAGGAGGACTGGGAAGGGACACTTGGAGACCAGTTGTCTCCATGTTTTGGGTAAGGCCCAGGCTTAGTGAATATGGATGCTGTTGTCCCTAAGAGATTAGTGGCGATTAGTATCCACCAGATACAACCTTGATCTGTGGCAAGTCACTATCAACTGCGAGATCTGCTTTTTCCTGTCCCAGAGTGGACATAAGAAAGGAACTGGGGAATCAGAAAGTCCTGGGTGCAGGAGCCTGTAGATGCTATCTAATCCAAGTTCCTTATTTTAAGATGAGGAAACTGAGGCCCAAAGGATAGGGGGAAGTTAATAAGGTGGCAAATTTTATTATGCCCCCAAATCACAGAATTAAGCTACCAATTGTTTTCATAACTCAGTTTCAACAAAAAAAATAACTAATATAAAAATGATTTGTCCCCTAACTGTACTTAAAAGCAGAACATCATCACACATGCTTGAGGCTCGCAGGTAAGGTGGCCTTAGGGGGCTATATCTTCCTTTTACCCCCAACCTGACGACTCAGTTCTCTCTACTGGGTCCAGGGAAGTGGCAGTGATCACCTCTAAAGAGAAGGCACACATGAGGCCAGTGCTGGAGCCCAGTGACAGACAGCACAAACGGATATGCCAGAGAGGTGGGAACTAGAGTGTACTCCAGTCAGTGGATGAAAAGAGGTACAGGCTCTGGCCCCCACCTCTTTGGCACATCCCCATTTGTGCTCTCTCACTGTGGGGCTCCAGTATTGGCCCCGAACTGCATGACGTCTTGCTCTAACTCTCCACAGAGGAGACACATAGATTGACAACTGCACCTATGAATCCAACTCACATGACTCTTGTCATTTTTTCCTCAGTCCATACTCCACAGGGCCTCACGGAGACCAAGGACCCAGTATGTAGCCTTGGTACGGTTTTGGTCCCAGGAAGCACCCATGACCTAAGAACCACCCATGCCAAACCTGTACCATGCTCCTCACTTTTTCAATTTATCAATGTCTCTCTTTCATTTTCTCACATCCCTAATGGTGCATTTTCAGTACCTCATTTTCTTAGAAAAGAGGCAATCCTGGAAGCCTGCCTGGAACACAGATACAGGGTACCAGCCACCCGGCCTGACGCTCCGCAGCACAGGGAGCAGAGTCACGTATCCCCATCCCCCAGTCACTGCCACTGCTCAGAAAAAACAACCATCTTCACTTTACAGAGACAGGGTTTTCCTCTTCCCAGCCCCCGCCCCCTTTCCTCTAAATGGTCCTCGATCCCTTTTTCCTCCCCATGCCCACTCTCCCAGTCAGCCTCCCCGGGTTAGATCATGTGAAATTCTGCTGTACCCCCAAATGTTCCTGGGCACAGGCGTGAGAAGCAGCAACAGGTTATGGCCTGAAGAGCCCCCGCCCCTTTTCCTTCCCACGCAGCGGGATAGGTCCTTGCACCTGCCAGTCAGCTCCAGGAAGACAGGGCCCCTGGGCAGGACCTCCAGAAAGGGAAGCCCTCTAGCCCACTGAGATGTCCGCCCCAAAGGCAAAGGAAGAACCAGCCTGGGACCCCTTCCCTGCTGTCCCCACCTCCCTCTCGCCTCTAGGTCTGTGATCCTGGCCCACACAGCACCAAGCCTGCCCCTGGCCCCAGTACCTGGTCGGCTCCAGTGGGGGACAGGCTGGGGGCCACGTGTCAGTATGGGTCTCCAGTGCGTCGATGAGCCTCTCCCGCAGTGTCTGCACCTCAGCACCAGCCACTGTGAATGAAGACGGACACGGGGACAGGGGTGAGGAGAGCAGGAGAAGGGATCCAGTGCCCCTGTCAGCTTCACTCACAGAAACAAAGGGCCCAGGGCTGCTGGTTCTGAGAGAAACAGCACAGTCAGTCCTATTCTGTACTCACGGCCCTGAGCTATGCAAGGGGACCCCTCCCTCAGGGCGCAGGAAAGAGTCCCTCAGACGTGGGCCCATCAGGGCTCCCCCAGGGGCTGTCTGGCTTGCCCTTCTGATGCCAACCCCTGACATGAAGGGCGACCCCTCCCCACTCCCAGGACCCTGGATGGACCAAAATCTGAAGGCACCTTCCAGCAGGGCTGGGAAGGACCGTCAGGAAAACACAAATTCAGCTTTCAGCTGGGGAACGCATCATCTGCAGGCCTTGCCGTGCTTTCGCCCAGCAGAAACCCCAGTAAAGAGGGGGGCAGGGAGAGGAAGACGTTGCCAATGCCCACAGGTCAACGCCAGCCAGGATACCCACCTGCCAACGTTGCTCCTGAGCCATCCCTGGTAAAGGCCTTAAAGAACTGGAAACAAACACACAGGTGACAGTCAGTGACGCGTACAGCTGAGGTCAAACTCGGTGCCACTCGGGGCTGCATCCAGACCCAGCTGCTCACTACATGGGTGGCTCTGGGCAAAGAACTTCACTTTGGTGAGTCTCAGTTTCTTCATGTGGAAAATGAGAACATGGAGGGAGCTGGGCGCTGACGCTTCCCCGCTGTCCTTGCCTCCAACCCCGAACCCCGCAGCCCCGAGGCACGGAGGGAGGCCGGAAGCAGCAGCCCACGCACTTGACAACAGGTGGGCTGTTCCCACAAAGCCCGAGAGGCAGCGCCCAACGGCTGGGAGACGTGTACAGTGGCACCTCGGCTTTCGAATGGAATCCGTTCCGGAGCCCGGTCGAGTTCTGAAACGTTCGAAAACCGAGGCCTCAGGATCTCGCCCTCAGCGGAAGCCGTGGGGCATGTTCGACTCCCGAGGCATGGTCGGAAACCGAAGCATTTCCTTCTGGGCTTACGGTGTTTGTAACCTCAAATGCTCGCCAACGGAGATGTTCGAAAACTGAGGCGCCACTGTATTTATGAACGAATATGAAGCCCACCGCTGTTTTTCCTTGCAGACCCATATGAACACATAAAGTGAAGTCACTTCATATGCCCCGTGGGAAATGTCAGCCGCCCTCTGAGGTGATCTGTCTTTGCCCCTTATGTTGGAAGAGGGGCTTGGAGGCTGCTGTCTCTGTCCACTGAGATCTCCCAGCCTGGCTCAACAGATGCTCCATGTTCAGTCCTACTGAAGGGTGGCCTGAGCCTCGGAAGAAACGGGTCTTGTTACAGAGAGACCAACTGAACCCACAGCTTTGCCCTTTTCCCATTAACATGACAGTCGAGGCCCAGTCTGTCACCCCTGGGTGAGAGGACAGACAGAACGGAGGACAATTCCTCAGAATCTGTGCTTCTGCCTAAGTGGCGAGAGAGCTGTCAGGGTTCAGTTATCCTTCCAGATAGCCACTTAAGTGCCTGGGAAGAGCCCACAGGCTGGGAAGAGGACTTTTCCTGAGGTGCCTAACCTCAGGGCCACTTGTAAAAACCTTTGGCCTCTGCCTCCAACAGCATGGCCAGTTGGCCTTGTCCCAAGTTGGTGGCTGAGTACAGGCCCTAGGGTCGGCTGGACCTGGGTTCACGGCCTGGCGCTGCTACCCCCTGGCTGTGTGACCTTGGGCAATCATTAACCTCTCTGAACCTTCTCATCTTTAAAATGAGGATGACACCATCTACCATGAATAATTGCTGTAAGGAGTCAATGGTAACACATCTGAAGTGCTTAGCATGGTGCCAGGGACATACAGTAAGGGGTCACTAAATGTTAACTGCATCATCATCATCATCAACTTCTTCATCATCATCATCACCCCTCCCCTTGTTCCTACCACTTAAACACTAGGAAATATGGATCACCTGGCACTGTTTGTTCCAGCCATTTGTCAAATGTCAAATCCTGAGGCCACCATCTCCCACCTGAAGAACAAGGACATGAGAAGCTGCCCATTTCTCCCCACCTGCAACCTTCCCTGCTCCCTGGGACCTCACCTGGGCCTAACTCTGCTCACCCCTCTACACTCTCTCTTTTTAGAGCATTAACATAAACTTCCACTCTGGGTGAAAACCACCCGCTAACCCACACCACATATATTTACATATTTATAATGGAGTTCTCTGCAATGACTGAACACGTTTGGAACGAACAAAATCATATGTTAGCCTAATACTTGTAAAACGATCGCAAATGTCTTGGACTGTGTCATGAGATCAAATAGAAAAACATGTTAAGGCATTTATGAGCTGATGCTGTTTCCCAGAAACAAAATTATTATTTAAAATATATTTTTGTTGATTTCAGAGAGAGGAAGGGAGGAGAGAGAGATAAAAACAGCAATGATGAGAGAGTCATTGACAGGCTGCCTCCTACATGCCCCCTGCTGGGGTCGAGCCCAAAACCCAGGCATGTGCCCTGACCGGGAATCAAACAGCAACTTCCCGCATCATAGGTCGATGCTCAACTGCTGAGCCACGATGGCCAGGAAGAAACAAAATTAAAAATGCACCTCTGTGGTTTGATTTGCTAACAAATAAAAACCCAGAGGCTGATCCTTACAGCTGCAGTTTCCATGGCAATGGCGCCCATTTGTGTGCAGACAGAACAGACCTCGACTTGTTCCACAGGCAGAAGACACTCCTGACCTCATGATGTCTGACACTGGTGGCTTTCCCATAGCTGCAGCTGGCATTTTCAGTTATTGCAAAGTAACATAGTAATTCTTCTTTATCACCATTGCATTACCCAGGTACTTAGTAAGAGAGGCTGGCACTACCTCCATCAAAAGGCAGCCTCAATTATAATGCTGTGTACCTGAAACTTATATACTATCATATCCCAACATTACCTCAAAAAAAAAAAAAAAAAAAAGAAACCCACCCCAAACAGAAACAACCATAGTCTTTCACAGAACACCCAGCTAACCCGCTAAATGAAACAGCTCCCTGGTGACCAAATGCAGTGGTGCCTTCCTGCCTCCCTAAGGAAGAAGTGGGTGACAGGCCAGGGCACCGGTGACAATGGAGTGACTTCTGGAGGCAGAGGCAGGCGGAACAGATGGGGTGGGGAAACACCTTGGTCACCCTGGGAGCGGCGGGCACCCTGGGCCTGGGAGGGTGNGGAAGCCTCCCCAGACCTTCTGAAGGCCCCTGCCATGGGTAGCGTGGAGTTGGACAGGAGCCTGGGTTAGCAAGAGTGACCTGGGGGAATGCAGGGACTCCAGGAAAGGCGCCCACCTCCTTCCAGTTACCTCTGTGCTCTTACCCAGCCTTCTTTCTGTCCTCAAAAGCTCCCATCTACCTTCTAGAACAATATCACTGCCCAAGCTCTCGCTCCCACACCTTGCTCTCTTTAGGAACTTTTTCCTATCAATCAATCTCTCTTTCCCCTTTTCTGTCAGCTTCTCCCCTCTGCCTACAAATAGACGCAAGTCCTCCTAATCAAAGTATTGTGCTTTGTTTAAAAAAAAAGGACTGGAAGGGAAGGAGAATGGTCCCGGTCCCCTGCTAGCCATATATTCCAAACAGAATCTGCTTCACTCTTCCCATTTCCCTTCTCGCTTCGTGCCCGTGACCAGCCTGCTGTGGCACATGCCCTCACCACCCAGCTGACGTCCTCTGGTCAATCCAACGACCTTCCTGCTCCCTCTGCAGTGTCTGATGTTATCACTACCTGCTTCCCCCATGGCCAGGGTTTGCCATGTTTTTATGCCACATTTTCCTGACATTCTCCTTCCGTGCCTTCATGTCACCACCCTCCCTCCGTTTGCCTGACACTGACAAGAACCTGTCAGTCCACAAGTTCTGTGACTTTGACCTTGTGACCCCTCTTCAATAGTACTCTAGACCAGCTGCCTTGTCTAGACCAGGGTGGACCCCCTAGCTCCTGGCCTGCTGTGACAGTCCCTGCCTGACCTCATTTTATGCCCTCAGAAATTTTAACAAGCTCAATCTTTTCATTCTCCAACCATCTTCCTCACTGCCACTTTGTTTACTTTTCTAAGGCATAATTCTGGTCTGGTCATGTCACTCTTCAAATCTCTTCCATGACTCCCCATTGCCAATGAATTATGTCCAGACTCAGCACATGAGAGGATTTCCAGGATCTGACCCCAGACTTACCTCCCACTGCCCCCATTCCCTACACCTCAGCTACAATGGACTCCAACCTGAACTTTCCACCCACCCGCCTACCCACCTCCCTGACTGGGAGGGCAGGACTAGCTTGTTCACCTCTGCCAGCCCCACAGCGCCTGGTGCATTGTCTGGGACATGGAAATTCTCAAAAGCCATCTGTTCAGTTAAACTGAGGATCTCTGCCCTTTGATCATCTTGGAAGCTCATGTAAAAATCACAGTAAAATCTCGTCAGGGCACATTTCTGTCCTCTTAAGTCAGCTGTGGGAGGCGCATGCCCTACCCAAGGCAAACCACCACAACGCTTCAGAAACAGACAATTAGGACTTCAGCAGTGAGTTTCCTTTTCTCCGGGAGCAGCCAGCACCGGTCCCTTTCCTTCCGTCACTTCCAGGAGTGTTGGCCTTCCTCAACCTTGGAGCCCCTGGAAGACCTCCGCGTCTCCCCAACGGCAGGGGAGACTGGCTGGCATCGGGCAGATCTTTATCAACCTAAGCAGGAGCAATTGCCTTCTGGGGGCCAAATAGGACCAATAGAAAGCACGCTTTCCAGCGATGACCATCAATGGCATGGAATCCAAGCTTTTAGAACAAGTTTTAAGAGAAATATCCCAGTCTCCAAATATCTAGGGTGAGCCCACAAGGATCTGCAAGTTTAACCATTCCTATGTGGTGGACAGTCAGTGGAGGGAACGGCTGGAAGGGCAGGTGACTGCTGCTGAGGGAGGGCCCATCTCCCTTTTCCAGAGAGGCACAGGTGACATCTGAGTCCTGTCCCCCTCCCTGACATCTCATCCTCTATCAAGAGCCACATAAGGTAATGGCCCAGACTCTGTGCATCCCCCCAGGTGTCCACACTCCCAGACTTGAATGCAAGGACCTGCCATCACTGGGCACCCCCTTCCTGGCATGACCTCAGTCCTGCACTTGAGCCTGCACTCTGGCCAGACCAGTCTTCTCAGCACACATTTTCCCCACACAGGGCCTTGGCTCTCACCTCCTACCCTGCCCACACTCCTCTTTCCTAGCCGAACCTACAGAACCAAGCAGAGCTTCCCCTCCTACACGAAATCCTCTCCGATACTAGAGGGAAAGAGCTCAGTGAGCCAGCCAAGCCCTAGCATTCACTGCTTACCGATCACTCACTGCCTGTCAACTAGCTGGAGAACTCACAGTGCCCTTGCGGACAGGACCTCCGTGTCCAGCCTCTCTCAGGTTTCTGGCCATGTCTACATGTCTGGCCTCTAACACAACGGTGAGCCCAGTGCTGTGCACCCAGCAAGCACTCACGCAGTAGCTGCTGATGGACGGACTGCCACAAATGCAGTGCCCACAGAGGAGCCACCACAAGCCCCGGGGCAACGGGACGGAAGACAACCAATATTTAGTGAACACCAAGTAACACCACAGTGTCCCAGCACCTTCACACACAAGACCTCATTTCACACTTGGCAACAATCCTATTAGGTAGATATTATCATCCCACTTTTACAGACAGGGAAACTGAGGCCTGCGGCTGGGGCATTATTAAGCGACTTCCCAAGTCACATACAGTAAGCAGTGGAGCAGGATTTGAACCCACATCAATTATCTCCTCAGAATCTTGTAAAGCGGAGACTGCTGTCCTCTCCCATCTACCCCAGTGCTGCTGGTCCCTGTAATCTTGATCCCAGCCAGGCCTGTGGCCACAAAGGGTGCTGGTCCATTACCCGCTGAGGGGTACCCATGTGGCTCATGGCAAAACCCTTCCCCCCAGAAGTTCCAGCCTCCAGGTCCCCAAGCACCACCCAGAACCTGCTGCAAACCAGTCCCTCCCTACACTTTTGTTTTCTTCCAGCTGGCTCCAGCTCCAGGCTGATGGGCCCTGACACAGCCGGCCCGCCCAGCAGCGCCAGGTGTTTGCTAAACAGGCTGGGCTGGTGGAGGATCACTGTTTGCTCATGGTGACAAAGGGCAGGAGGCAGAGCGAAGAGACAATGTCATATGTCACTGGAGGTGGCCAGACTCTTGTGTGGGCCTGTCCCCATCACACAAGCAACTCTCTCTTCCCCATTCAACTTGTGTCCTTCTCTTAGAGCTCTCACAGCCTTCGAGGGTAGGAGTGAGGACAGGCTCCAGTCCCCAGGTAGCCGGAGACAGGGCACCAGGGCTATCTCTGGCCGTCCGGCAGTCTGGCCAACCTCTAAGGGTCTGCACCTCTTTCTAGGGTGTATAGGCATGCTGCCCACGGGCATACTGGGCTCTCAATGGGCCAGAATCTCTGTAGATCGGGAATCTGTTGTAGTGTTTTCCAAAAACTAGAAGCAATCTAGTAGTCAGTTGTAAAATGAATTTAGTGAGTCACAGTATTTTTAAAAAATAAACAGAACAGAAAGCATTAGTGTGTACAGCACTTAGTATGAACATTTTTTACAAAACATTTGTTTCAGTGATAACAGAAACCAACTTCTGGATCTCACTGTCAATGTCTATTCCTGCAAGTCACACTAACAATGTCTGAAAACCTCTGCATAGGGCCTCAGAGCAGAGACCCACCGGGAGCTTGACCCACTAAGGTCAGGGCACCAAGTGCTCTCCCTGCCGAAACTGGCCTCCAGTATCCTTGGGAGAGGCAGGGAAGTCACACCACTGTCTCTGGGGCTCTTAAGAAACAGATAGATGACTACCGGCCTGGCCACCCAGGTGCTGCCCATGTGGAGGCAGGGGAAGGTCAGGGCCTTGGCTGACATAGCCAGCTGGGCAGTTAAGGCGATGATTAATCACTCGAGGCATTCGGGCTGCGTGTGCTGCGTGACCTGGGTAGGCACCGAGGAGCTTTTAGACGGCCCGACTGCCTGGCTGCCTCCTTCACGCCCACTGAGGCCCAGCCTCTCCCAGGCAGAAACAGAAAGCCCCATGTGCCAGGCCCCACAGAACCCCCATAGGATGTCCTGACTGGGCCACAGTACCAATGCCAATCCCTCTCCCGGGGACTGAGCAGTGGCTGGATCCCCGTGCTGAGCGCCCCCACCCCCACCCCAGGAGAAAATATCATATGAACAAGGACTCCCTGCTGCCACAGTGGTTTTCCCACAGCTCCCACTCAGGGCTGCTCACCCTGGCTCAGCAAAGGGAACAGAGTGCCCCACCTTCTCCCTGTGGGGTAAATTTAAATACCCTTGGAGCTAAGGATAGGGCATGGCCCTGTCAGGGAGATGCTTTAACTTGAAAGGGATGATTTATAAACATTCTCTACTACCACCTCTAAATGACAGGGCCAGAGCTGTTGGCTCGCCATGCTGTTCCCTGGACCAGCCTGTCCTCAGCTGAACTGGGGCCTGGGCCCTGACCCTAAGTGGTAACAGCAGCATAGAAGGGAGCTCCATTGGGCCGTGGAAACCCTGAACCACTGGGCGTGAGGAACAGAAAGGTCACATGGAGTTAGAGTGGACATGGCTGGAGCCTGGGGCCTGGGGCCAGAGGAATGGAGTAATTAGGCTGAGACATGGCTCACAGTTCTGCTTGGAACTTGGAGCCCCTGAGCTCAGAGATAGCTTGTTCCGGGGAAAATGCTTGGCCTTTCAGCTCTCAAAGGCATTTTGTGATTATTATTAGTGGCTTTAGAGGAAACTGCTTTCCTTGATGCCATTTTGGTGCGAGGAGGTTTATTATTTAGAGCTGGAGTTAGAGAGACAGAGGTTCAGGTTGGAGCCTCGGCCTGAGCCCTGGGGAGGGTGCTACGTAGATCTGAACAGCCTTGCTCCTCTGGGCTTTCCCAGCCTCCCATTTGAGAGCCTTGGAAGTTGTTCAGATGTTAATTAAGCTGTCCATGCCCCATGGTGAGCAGGCTGGCGGGCAAGGCCTTCGCTACTTTGAGCCGGAGCTGTGGTGATGGTGACAGGGCTCTCATGTGCTGGGTGTGCTGCCAGCCTCCTGTGATATGATGGGGATCCCTGCCACCTGAGGCATTTTGGCATTGTAACCGTGGGGTGAGGCTACCCTGACAGGTCACTTCCGAGTTACTGGGGTTCAAGGCACTTGTCTCATGAGGAGGAGGGCTGCCCGTGTCTCCGGGGTCCTTTTCTGGGGGACTACTGGGCCACCCGAGTCTGATCATGCCACAGATGAGTCAGAGCCTGAATTCTGGTTTTATAGGGTTAAGTCAGACCTCCAAAGCTAGAAGGTCAGGACGGAGAGAAATTGAGAAGAGGCCCCTGGGAACTGGGAGCTCTCACCAGCCTGGGTGGTGATGTCTCCACAGCTGAAATCTGCCCACCCCAACACACCCACACACAGCTCCCTTTGCTTATAAAGGGGAGGATTTGCCAGACTGAGTGAACCTCTTTCTTTTCTGACTCCCAACTCATGTCCCTTTCTGCCTCTATAACAGGTGTCTCATTGAGCAAAGGGACAGTGCTCCAGGAGCATGGGATTTAAACAAACCAGGAGCATCAGAGAAGCCCAGAGCTGAGCAGACACACAACAGCTGGCAGCATGCTCCCCCAGCCCCAGGCCCACTCCCCACTCCCCGTCACACACCCTCACAGTCGGGAAGCCGGGGATGTTGAAGTCTCTGCAGACTGCACTATTGACCTCATCGGCACAGTCCAGGGCAGCGAGGTTCAGCGCCGGCCTCCAGTCTGAAAAGACAAGAACACCAAGGTAAGGAAGAGGGGCTGGCACCTCTGCCTGCTCACCTCCCCCATGCAACACCCCACACCCCAACCCCCACCACACCGCCCCAAAGCTCTCATGAGAAAGGTCTCCCCTTCCTCAGAAAAGGACCTCTGATACAGTCTGGTTATTCTGCATTTAGCCTGTGCTTGGGACAGTTAAACAGCACAAGCAATGTCTTGTGATGGCATCTGTGTTCCCCCTAATGGGGATGGGGTGGCTGAAGAGAAATGGGGATAGCCCTCCAGGGAAAAGCCCCGACATAGCCTCTGTCCCTGCTGCCCTCTAGGGAGGACCAGTTCCAGAAGGGCAGAGAACATGCCTCAGGAAGTCTGGACTTACCCAGGGGACCCTTGGTGAAGACAGGAACTGGCACACAGCCCAGCTCGGGTGGGTGGGACAAAGGGTGTTGGGGACTGGCTCCCCAGCCAAGGATGGAGGCAGGAAATCCCAGGAGGAAGGGTAGGCACAGAAAACTTAAGAACCACAGGGAAAGAGCCCCAAGGCCAGAGTCTGGAAAGAGATTAACAGCTGCCAAGCATCAGGCCCCAGGCTGCGAGTCATCTGAAACTTATTGGCAGAGAGGATGATGGCATTGTTCTGGGCCACAGCCCAGGATCTGGGAATCAGAAAACAAACTCATCTACCAAGCAGGCCTCCCGAGCTCCGACTCAAGGTCAAGGTACCCCTTACACGCCCACCAAAATTCCACGTTACTGTGAGGCTGCTCCAGCTGGAAGGCAAGACACACACGTGAAGCCACAGGAATGGTGAGGTGGCAACGGGCCGGTGCCACACCATCCGTTACAGAGCTCTAAAGGAGTCTGGACACAGGAGAGACCAGCCCTGGGGACTAAGCTTGGGCCCACCAGGAAAGGTGGAAATTGAGTTGAACCTCGACAGCCACTCCAGTTGACAGGGAACTAACTGCAATATGAGAAGCAGCGAGCGGCAGGCTGTGAGGCTCTGCCGGAGATCAGGTGGCTGGCCAGCAGGCCCTGCTGGAGGGGTGGGGGCTGGGGTCCCCGGCTCTCTGGGCAGATGAGTGAAGGAGGAAACCTTCCTGTGGCTCACATGCTCCTCATGGGGCCCTACCCCTCTCATCTGGAGAACAAGGTGGGGTAGGGGGTGGAGGGGCTTCACAGGCAGCCCGCACAGCACCCATTAAGTACAGAATGCTGAAAAATCTATTTCAGGAGGCATCAAGCTCCCCATAACATTTTATGCCCAAAGAAGGAGTATTACCCTCACTTCCACGAGACAGATGCAGGAAGAGGCAGGACTCCTCCCAGACAACCCCTGACCCATCCCTCAAAGGAAAGGCTCATAGCAACTAAGCTGGTCCTTCTTGTGGGGACACGAGGGAGGGGACCTGGGACTGTGAGGCTGGCCTGAGGCGACACCCTCCCCCTCCCAGCCCCCCCCCCC